CCTGGGCATACAGGAGTCCTTTTTCTTCTCATGCTTTAAACTGTGTTATTTATATAAATAATATACGCTTATAAATATATTTTTTATATTTATATTTTATATATATATAAAAATTGTCAAATAGCACTCTCTTTTAGCTACATATGGGTAAGCCAAAAGGTAATCTTGACAGCATTTCATTATATCTTTTAGTAAGCATTTTATTTATTTTTCAGCTAAAAGTTATAGTGAATTCTCTGAAGAATATGATAAATACATTCGTCCCAAGTGGAAAAGTTATGCAGATAGTGGATGAAAAATTGGTAAGAAATATTATTTCTCACAATAAATGTTAAGCACATACACATTACACACAAAAATCAGAAAATGCTCTGGCATTTATTTAAGGGCATAATTCAGCAGCCTCTTCGCAGGGACTGGGACAGATGTGTGTGAATCTAGCTCACTGTGAGAACTTCAGAGGGACTTAAATTTGGGGGATTGGTCATATTAGGGTAACAGCATAGCAAAGTATGGTTTTGTAAAAGGATGGGACTACATTACGACACCGGGCAGATAAACATACTTCATCTGGGAATATGGTGTTTCCTTCCCTTTATGAGTGAGTTCACTATTGAAGACTTGGTTTTTTTCCTTAGGTATCTCAGGGACATTCAGAGATTTTTTTCCCTAGATATGACCAAATTATGACCAAATGATGTACTCAGCCTGGCCCCCTATTCTGTAGAGTTCCTCAGTAGCTCTGACCCCAAAACTCATTTGGGTTGAGTGTTTCTGTGCAATCACCAAACCATTTCATTTTCATCCTGGTCATGCAGGAAGACTCCCATTTCTCACTCCATTTCTCAGCCCCGTTTTTGTTTACGCAGAACCAATGAAACACCTAGGGCCGGGCCCCTAGAACTGGTAAAGGGATCCTCATTGCACTTGATGGCAGATTTTGGGCACTAATGACATTTGGGGTTGGGCAGCTTTTTTTTTTTTTTTTTTTTTTTTTTTTTTTTTTTTTTGAGACCTCACTTATCTCTGTAGCCCAAGCTGGAGTGCAGTGGCGTGATCATAGCTCATAGCTGCCTTGATCTCCCAGACTCAAGGGATCTTCCTGCCTCAACCTCCTGAGTAGCTGGGACTACAGTCACGTGCCACAACACCCAGCTAATTTTCTGAATTTTTAGTAGAGATGGAGGCTTGCTCTGTCACCCAGGCTGGTCTCCCAACTCCTGGGCTCAAGCGATCTTCCCGCCTCAACCTCCCAAAGTGTTCTCCCAAAGTGTTGGGATCATAAGTGTGAACTGCCATGCCCGGCCTGGGTTGGATATTTCTTTGTCATGGGGCTGTCCTACACATTTCAGGATGCCCGGCCTGGGGTGGGTATCTCTTTGTGGCAGGGCTGTCCTCTACATTTCAGGATGCCCAGTCTGGAGTGGGTATCTCTTTGTCATGGGGCTGTCCTGTGCATTGCAGGATGTTTAGCAGCATCCCTGGCCCTTACCCGCAGATGCTGGTAACACCCCCTCAGTTGTGACAACCAAAAATGTCCTTAGATATTTCCAAATCTGCCGTGGTCGAGAATCATTGCCCTAGTGGCCGAGTGCTCTGGATACATCCTCCCTATGACACTTGTACCTGCCAGGCACCAAACCCATTATCCCTCATGTTCATGCTCTCAGAGCTTTTGTTTCAGGCTATCCTTTATGTTCATACTTACCAGCCTTCCTCAGAACAAAAAACGCTGGCAGGAGCAAAAGAGGATGAGGTCCCCACGTACCCCATATGCCTTAATCTCCCCTCTACTCTGAATGTTATCAGGGAGGGCAGCATTGCAGAGTGTTTTTGTGCCACGCCTTGGAATCGGACAATACTGGGTTTTAAGGCTGGATCAGTCACATAGTAGCTGTGTGTCCTAGGGAAAGTTCCTTAACCTATGAAACCTCAGTTTTCTCATCAGGGAGAATAATACTTACTAATATGTATTTCATATGGTGGTTGTAAGGATTAAATGATATACTGTGTATAAAGCATAGTGCTTGGATGTAATAAGTGTTTAATAAATACCCATTGTCACATTTGTTTGTTAAATGGCTGGAACATTCCACTTGGGCAATGCTTTGAGTTCCTAGGGGAAAAAAAATAATATGCTTAGGTGACATTGCATGTAATTACCAAGTTGGTTTAAAAAATGAGATTTGTGAATTTTAAACACATTATCTCAGCAAAAGGCTGTGAACTTAAGTTGCGATCTAGATGTTAGTAGTTGCCATTGAGAATAAATATATGATGTCCACCACTGAATTTGCTTAAAGTCTATGGTTTGCTAAGAGAATGCGGTTACTTCATGTTAGCCAAAGATCAGCCATTAACCATGACACAAGGCTGTGGATAGACTAGTTCAGGTTTATCTCCGTGCGTGTGGGAAGGAAATGGTAAGAAGGGTATGTGCCAATGGCTACAGGGTGAATTCATGCGGAGACACGAGGAGTGCTTGTTTTGATGTTTTTGTGATGTGGGTCAGGTTAGGTCATCCAGGTGGAATTACTCTCGTTCCTGCCTTCGCTGGAGAACGATGGAAAAATAAGACAGGAAAAACAATCTGAGAATCTGGTCTGTAGTATATTATATAGAATCTTTTTATAACTACATGATGTAAAAGTGCTTTAAAAAATAACTCCTATCACTTATTGTGATAGCAGTATCTAGAACAAATTATATGTCAAAGAACTAGATTTCAAAGTATGTTTTTTAGGTTAAATGCTTTTATTAATATATTTGTTTTCCAGCCTGGCCTACTTGGCAACTTTCCTGGCCCTTTTGAAGAGGAAATGAAGGGTATCGCCGCTGTTACTGATATACCTTTAGGTAAAGTTCACTTAGAAGCTTTAAAAAAAAAAGTAAACTATTTTACAAATTTCCATTGAGGTGTGATATACATACAGCAAAGTACACAGGTCTCACGTATACAGCTCTGTGAAGCTTCAGAAATGCATACATGCACATAGCCATGACTCAGATCAAGATACGGAAGAGCCCAGCACTCCACAGTGCTCCATCATGCCCCTTTGCAGAAAATACTGCCTCCTCCAGTAACCACTATTCTGACGCCACCGTAGATTAGTTTTGCCTCTTCGTGAACTTTATATAAGTAGAACTGAATGATATGAACTGTTGTGTGTGATTCTTGTGCTTTCGTTATGGGTAGTGTGCTACTCCATGAACAGGGTATTTGAGTTGTTTTCAGATTTGCAATATTAAGAATAGATGAATTATAAATATTCTAGTACATTTTTGGGGGTCTATGTGCTCATTTTTCTGGATATATACCTAGGAAGTGAACCGTTGGGTTATAGAGTAATTGTATGTTTAGCCTTGTAGATTCTGCCAAACAATTTTCCACAGTGATTCCAGCAGTTGACAATCAGCAGAGTGTGATTCAGTTTTCTCCACTTGATAATTCTCCTCTTAAGAGTGTCAGTCTTGTCTTTTTCCTTTTTTTCTTTGATAGTGTCAGTCTTTACTTGAGCCTTGTTGTTGAGTGTCACAGTATCCCATTTTAGTTTTAATTTGCATTTCCTCGATGACTAATGAGATTGAACACTTTCTTGACTTTTTTTTTTTTTTTTTTGGTTTCTTTGTTTCTTTTGGAGAAGGGCTTGTTAAGGTCTTTTGCCCTTTTAAAAATCAGATTGAAGGAATTCTTTACATACTTTGAATATAAGCCCTTTGTCAGATGTATGGATTCTGAATATCTGCTCCCAGTCTGTGACTTTCATTTTTATTCTCTTACTGGTGTCTTTTGATGAACAGACATTTTTAATTTTAGTGAAGTCTAATACCTCAGTCTTCTCTTTTATGAGCAGTGCCTTTTGTATCCATTTAAGAAATCTTGGCCTAGGCCAAAGTCGTATATATGCTTATGTATTTTCTTCTAGATGTTTAATGTTTACTTTTGACATTTAGGCCTATGATCTATTTTGAATTATTTTTGTATATGCTATACGACTTAAGGGTCAAGGTTCAAGATTTTCTCATATGGTATATCCAGTTAAACACTATTAATTCGGAAGGCTATCCTTTCCTCAGCAAATTGCAGTGGTGTCTTTGATATAAATGTACAATACATATATATACACACACACGTGTATATGTATATACAAACAGGTGATTATATATATGTTGTTTTGTTTGGAGAATTACTGTTAAGTTTCATTTACCTATTTGTCTTTCCTTGTATCAATGCTATTCTACCTCAGTTAGTAAAGCTTTATAGTAAGTCTTAAAATTAGGTAGTATAATTCTTCCAACTTTGTTTTTCTCAACATTTATTTAGGTTATTGATTTCTCTCTGCAGTATCTTTTGTTTTCAGGGAGAAGGCCTTGCATGTCATTCATTAAAATTATTCTTAGATATGGATGGTTTGGGAAGCTATTATTAAAATTTCAATTTAAGCTTCATGGCATGTAACGAAAAAGATTTTCCCCACGACCCCAAAAGTTTTATCTTTAAGCTACCAAAGCAGTAGTGTCGTTATTTTAAATAGCCAATAGTACCTTCATTTTATAAGAGAGATGACTGAGAATTTGTGAAAATCAGTGGCCAGTTTTGTGTGCTGCTTCTTTGAAAAAATGATTTAAAAGATAGTCAACATACTGGAAATAGCTGCTAACTGCCTTTATGAAAAACACGTCTAATTCCTTTATTATGTAAAGAACTCTAGCAAATCAATACCAAATATAAATACCTTATGGATTAAGAAGAATAACATGATGTATAAGTGATATAAATTTATATAATTATAAATTATTATAAATTTATAATAAAATAAGTAGAATTTCACCAAATTAGAAATTTAATGGAAATAAAATAAGCATTGGATTCGGATGAAAAAAACATGTTGAGCTTAACATGTTAATGTTAAATAGGACGGAAATGAAATGTATTACCTATCTTTGAATTAAATGCTAAATAGCAGTATTACACATTTTGGGAAAGTATTCAAAAAATAAAATGCCCTAGAATGGAGTGTCTTGGCAGCTCTGTACTAATTTTATTAATAGTAATTGATTAATAGTTCTTGAATCTCCTTTTTCACCTTAGAAATTTTAGTCACAGTTTAAAAATCTGGGCAAAATACATTTCAAGAAAACAGCCAAAAGCCAGTTGTATTAAATGATCGTATTTACGCTCCCGAAAGAAAAATCAAAATGAAGCATGTTGATAAACATTTTTGACATGATGTTGGAGAACAGGTGCAACTTGCCCAGATGTTCAGCTGGTCCAAAGGCTGCCTCCTTGGTGACTTGTTTCATCTTGAGTCTAGAGAGTCCCAGCTGGGGAAGAAAACCACCGTCCAGCCGGCCGTTCCGGCACAGACCCACTGGCCAAAACACACACTCACACAATGAAAATACTTCAACTTTTTCTTAAAACAAATTTTTCTCCCATCGTCATGGTTCTGTATATTAACACAAAATTTTCCTTTCTTTTCTCATAGGAGAGATTATTTCGTACAATATTTTTTACGAGTTTTTTACCCTTTGTACTTCGATAGTAGCAGAAGACAAAAAAGGTAATTGTGCACTCAGGGAGGGTGGGCAGTATGAAGCACTACATAAAGAAGAATCTTATAAATAAATGGAATTAGAACTTCTAAACTTTGGGCTTGCTACATAAATTCTGTATGTGTTGCATAGAGCTTTTTATTTCTTGGCGAATTTTTTTTTTTTTTTTTTTTTTTTGAGACAGAATCTCGCTCTGTCGCCCAGGCTGGAGTGCAGTGGCCGGATCTCAGGTCACTGCAAGCTCCGCCCCCCGGGTTCACGCGATTCTCCTGCCTCAGCCTCCGAGTAGCTGGGACTACAGGCGCCCGCCACCTCGCCCGGCTAGTTTTTTGTATTTTTTAGTAGAGACGGGGTTTCACCATGTTAGCCAGGATGGTCTCGGTCTCCTGACCTCGTGATCCGCCCGTCTCGGCCTCCCAAAGTGCTGGGATTACAGGCTTGAGCCACCACGCCCGGCCTATTTCTTGGTAAATTTTTATGAGTGTACTGAAAATTCTCCTTATTTTAAGATTACTATACTACCTATTAAAGTTGAATTCAAACATGCCAAAAACCTGGAAGAAGTGTTTCAGGGCTAGAAACATTCTTCTTTTCCTCATAGTCTACTTATACCCGTCCACATGATTTAATAGAAGTGCTCGCAGGAGGTACTTCCTTATCTTCATGTATGTCATGACATCTGTCCTTTTCTTGAGACCCAGAACACACATTCTCTCATCCTTTCCCAGCCAGGTGACCCAGTGTGTACCAGCCTCACTTTTTCGTATTTTTCCTAACTGGTCCCCAGAGTACAAAGCACAGGACAACTTCGCTAACTCACCGTGATCCTCGACCTATACTCTGGGTATAAATCTGCCTGTACCTTACCCTTGAGGAGTCCTGCTCTAGGGGATGATGCCTGAAGGGGAACATTGGATGAATCCCAGTAATTGAGGCTCAGATTTCTGTGTCCTGGTAGAACCATGTGATAGTGAAACAAAATATGACCATTGATTCCTTTTCCCATATTCTGATCTTACCTGAAACCTGTGCTCTCAGATTTTGTGGGGTTGTCTGGCAGATTGACAGTGACAACAGTCCCATCTAGTGAAGGCTTAGGATATTAGGATGTTTCTTTCTTCTTGTTTGAAGAAACAGTTGTAAATATAAATTAATCAAAATTAGAGGCCAGACACGGTGACTTACACCTGTGATCCTAGCACTTTGGGAGGCCAAGGGCGGGTGATCATCTGACGTCGGGAGTTTGGGGACCGCGTGGCCAACAATCGGCTGAAACCCCGTCTGCTACTAAAAAAAAATACCAAAAAAAAAACTAAGCTGTTGGTGTGGGCCTGTTCGTAATCCCAACACGTGGAAGGCTGGGCACAAGAATTGCTTGAACCTGGGGAGGCAAAGGTTGCAGTGGAGCTGAGATCGCACCACTGGACGCCGTCTGGCAACACAACGAGGACTCTGTCTCCAAAAAAAATTAATTAATCCAAAGTAATTGTCCAGCTCTGATTTGAAGAATCTTTAACGGCTATTACACGGTCCTCTTTGCTACCTTTAAAGTGTCACTTAATACATGGAGAAAACATGGATTTGGAGGATTTCTTGGTAAGTAAAGACAACAGGCGCAGGCAGGTGGCTCACACCTGTAATACCCAGCACCTTGGGAGACTGAAGGGCCACGTGGACACGACATCCAGGAGTTTAAGACCAGCCTGGCCAAGATGGTGAAATCTTCATGTCTCACTAAAAATACAAATATCGCCAGGTGTGGGGTGGCTGCGTGCTGTAATCCCAGCTACTTGAGGCGGAGCATGAGAATGCTGAACCTTGCGAGGCAGAGGGTGCAGTGAGCCAAGAGTCCCTAGCCACTGACTCCAGCTTGGTTATAAGCCAGCTCCAATCTAAAAAAAAAAAAAAAAAAAAAAACGGGCGCGTGCTCACGGCCTGTAACCCAGCACTTTGGAGGGCCGAGACGGGCGGGATCACTGAGTCGGAGACCGAGCACCACCACTGGCTAACACCTAGGGTGAAAACCCCGTCTCTTACTTGAAAAATACAAAAATTAGCTGGCGTGGTGGCGGGCACATGTAGTCCCGCTAGCCTCCGGAGCGAGGGCAGGAGAAGGGCGGAACCCAGGGAAGGCGGAGCTTGGCAGTGAGTGGACGAATGCAGAGCCCCCACGCACTCCACGCCCGGGCGACAGAGCACAGGACTCCATCTACAAAAAAAAAAAAAAAACTCACGCAACTTATAGACTAAAGAAGTACGAGCGTTGTATACATGACTGAAAAATGAAGGATCAAAGCACACCCAACAAATGGTGACATAAGTGACAAGATAAATACGGAACTGGAGTTTGAGACACAGAGGCGGCACGCACTCTTCTATGGTATGTATCAGTCCTTGACCTCTTCTGACGAAATAAGAGTCGTTGTATACATACTGCTGTTGAAATCATAGCCTCACTATTAATTAAGCTGGTCGGATATGGCGAGAGTTAGCCTGACGCTCTCGAACTCAGTTTGACTCGTTTGAAAACAGAATACAAGGTACCATATTAAGGTCTTGTTAGGATGATCATTGTGACCAGAATACAGCTCCCGTGTAGAATGCCTGGCCCTCGAACTCATCATGTTCGTCATTATTATCACTGTGTTTCTAAATGATCACTGAAACTTGTCTTTTGTAGGTGGAACAATAAATATAGACCTGGGTCAAACTGAGGAACTAAACCTTGAACGGTGAATTTGGACTTCCAAAGAAACACAAAACGGTCTTCAAGGCTTCAAGCTTTGCTGGCATGTGCAGCATGTTAACAGGATCAAACCAGTAAGGACTCTGTTGTTAAATAATACACAGGTAGCTTTTTGTCCTCTATTACTGTTATATAAAAGGCTGAAATCTAAGAATATGAGGACTAAAGGGAAATGCAGGCCCTTTTCATCCCCTTGACTCTTCTGCTCACCTCATAGGTATGAAGACCCGTGTAGAGATGAGTAGAAAGGAAATGGAGGTTTCTGAGCCTGTTCTAGGATAAAGAGCATGTGGCCGGGTGTCAAGGGCTGGGAGTCACAATCTGGGATCTGGTCCTGGGTCTGCCACTGACTTAGGCAAGTCAGGCGTTCATTCTCTGCCCTTCAGTTTCCTGTCCAAAAAACGTAGCCAGTGATACCCCACCTACTTATGGCACATACTAGAATCAGAAATGCTTTGAACTTTTTAAAAAGCCTTGCATGGTTTTGATTTATTTTTGCCTTCCCCATTACCCAAGCTAGGCCTTTATATCCCACTCTGAAGTACAGTGGCGACAGGGCCTTAAAGCGCATGGTTGATGTTTCTGACTTCATTGCTTTGTCTTTTTCTCAGGGACTGTTCAGTCTTACACTGAATGAACGTTTCAGTGTAAATGGTGGTTATCTGGGTAAGTAGAGCATTCTCAAGTGAAATGGGAATCTCAGAGCTTTTTTTATGAAGATGACTGGACTGTGCCTTCTGGTTACATAGTCCAACCTCTTCCGGTTCCTAACTGGTTACAAAGTCTAACCTCTTCTGGTTCCCGACTGGTTACATTGTCCACCCTCTTCCGGTTCTTGACTGGTTACAAAGTCCAGCCACTTCCGGTTCCTGACTGGTTACATATTCCAGCCTCTTCCGGTTCCTGACTGGTTACATAGTCCATCCTCTTCCGGTTCCTGATAGTTACATAGTCCAGCCTCTTCCGTTTCCTGACGGTTACATAGTCCAGCCTCTTCTGGTTCCTGACTGGTTACATAGTACAGCTTCTTTCGGTTGCTGACTGGTTACACTGTCCAGCCTCTTCCAGTTCCTGACTGGTTAAATAGTCTAACCTCTCTGAGTTCCTGACAGTGTGTTCAATCTCTTCCAGGTATTCTAGAATGGATTTTGGGAAAGAAAGATGCCATGTGGATAGGGTTTCTCACTAGAACAGTTCTGGAAAATAGCACAAGGTAAAGTGTTTCGTTGCTTTACTATCAAATAGTTATTTTAAATTACTCATATTTAAAAATAAAAATATTTGTTAAGCTCCAGCTTAACAATTCTTTAAGGAGCTATTGCAGAATTTCTTAGGTGAACCTCTGAGACTCGTGGAATTGTTCATGTTTTCTTTGTGCATATTGTGTGTTTTGTAGCAAAGAAATGAATTACTTAAAATTAGCACTAGGGATACTGACATTCTGAAAGGCACCTATGAATATTTTTGGTGTACAGAAAAAAAAATCACCCACACACGAAAGAACAATCGTACAGTTTTATACTACCATTTAAATGGTAGTACAGACCAGGCACAGTGGCTTATGCCTGTAATCCTAACACTTTGGGAGGCTGAGACTGGCAGATCACTTGACCCCAGGGGTTTGAGACCAGTCTGAGCAACATGGCGAAATCCTGTCTCTACAAAAAATACAGAAATTAGCCAGGCATGGTGGCACATGCCTGTAGTCCCAGCTACTCAGGAGGCTGAGGTGGGAGGATCACCTGAGCCCAAGGAGGTCGAGACTGCAGTGAACTGGCATCAGTCCACTGCACTTCACCCTGGGTGACAGAGTAAGACTCTATCTCAGAAAAACAAAATAAATAAATACAAAATGTAGTACATATTAGCCTGTAAGTTATATCCTGCTTTGGTATAGAAATCTTACAATAGCAAAACTACCTTTCCTTCATTCAGCCTGCACTGCGTCCAGATAAATGGGCATCAATCCTACTTTTAATACTTCCCAGGGAATAAGATTTAATGTTAGTAGTGTTCTTTGATAACCCACTTCAATTTTCCATAGTCCTAATTTTCAAGAAGGTTTACTTTCTATTCTCTAAGTCCTATATACTGTAATATTATTTCCCTTTGTTCTATTGTTCAGTGAAAGGCATGGACAGTGAGGGTGGAAGATGATCTCTCGAGGCCACTTTGTTTCTCCTTCAGATTAGAGGGACTTCCTAAGATTCCCACTTCCCATCTCAGTGTTCACCATACAGGGTCAGGGATTGCTTTTCCCAGAGTCATTACTCACCATCCTGTTTTACAGATCACTTTGTGGCTGGGTGTGGTGGCTCATGCCTGTAATCCCAGCACTTTGGGAGGCAAAGGCAAGAGTATCGCTTGCACCCAGGAGTTCGAGACTAGCCTTGGCAACATAGTGAGACCCCTTCTCTAAAAATAAAAATAAATAAAGAATATGTTCCTTAGATACTTGTTTTCCTTTAGTTTCTACAGAGCTAAACATTTCCATTCTAAGTCATCTAAAAATGTTTCCCACCATCATCCTCAGCAAACTAACACAGGGACTGAAAACCAAACACCGCATGTTCTCACTCATAAGTGGGAGCTGAACAAAGAGAACATGTGAACACAGGGAGGGGAACATCATACACAGGGCCTTTCAGGGGGTGGGGTAAAAGGGGAAGGAGAGCATTAGGACAAATACCTAATGCATGTAGGGCTTGAAACCTAGATAATGGGTTAATGGGTGCAGCAAACCACCATGGCACATGTATACCTAGGTAACAAACCTGCATGTTCAGCACGTGTATTCCAGAACTTAAAGTAAAATTTAAAAATAAATGAAGTTATTTACTGAAATAAAAAAAAGTTTTATTTTTCTTTTTAAATGTTTCTATATAGTTATGAGGAAGCCAAGAATATATTGACCAAGACCAAGATACTGGCCCCAGCCTACTTTATCCTGGGAGGCAACCAGTCTGGGGAGGGTTGTGTGATTACACGAGACAGAAAGGAATCATTGGATGTATATGAGTAAGTAGATTTGTTAAAGCAAAAGAAGTAGAAACAAAAGCATACACTGACATACTTTGAGTTTTAAGGCTGTAGCCTAAGAGGGAATCTCTCTTTTTGTATCTAGACTCGATGCTAAGCAGGGTAGATGGTATGTGGTACAAACAAATTATGACCGTTGGAAAAATCCCTTCTTCCTTGATGATCGCAGAACGCCTGCAAAGATGTGTCTGAACCGCACCACCCAAGAGGTACCTTTGCAGGGTCATCTTTAGAAAGAAACTGTTGCCACGAAACGTTCTCTTGGTTCTGCCATTTTTCTTTGGCCTTCAAGTAATTTATAAACCTCCTATTATTCATAGTATCTCTGGTCACTCTCCACTGATTTTTTGTTTGTTTTTTTTTTAACTTAAAGAGCAAAATCGTGCTGTACTTTCCCTTTCTGGTTCTAATGCGGGATATCACTCTGAAGTTAAATAACAAACAGGCATTTTTTTTATTTTAAATTTAAGAATTTAAAAAGGGGAATGAGAGGAGGAAAATAATCCCTTAAAACTGTTACCTGTGTTTCTAACAGTGACTCCCACGGAAAGTCTACTGCGGGGATGGAGGGGAGGTTGATTCAAGAATGTCTGGACCGGGCGCGGTGGCTCACGCCTGTAATCCCATCACTTTGGGAGGCCGTGGCGGGTGGATCATGAGGTCAGGAGATTAAGACCATCCTGGCTAACACAGTGAAACCCCGTGTTTAATAAAAATACAAAAAAAATTAGCCGGGCGTGTCGGCGGGCACCTGTAGTCCCAGCTACTTGGGAGGCTGAGGCAGGAGAATGGCGTGAACCCGGGAGGCAGAGCTTGCAGTGAGCCGAGATCGCACCACTGCACTCCAGCCTGGGCGACAGAGTGAGACTCCGTCTCAAAAAAAAAAAAAGAATGTCTTGGTTTCTAGTGACCCATGTGTGTAGATAAGGCTGTTGACTTCGTATTTAACTTACTGAACAAAACCTTTTGTGTGTGTTTTAGAATATCTCATTTGAAAACATGTATGATGTCCTGTCAACAAAACCTGTCCTCAACAAGGTATTTTAAATATTATATGTTATTTGCCTTAAGGGAAAGAATTTGGCCCCGTGTTTTATCTTTCTCTGTTATCTTTGATCAGTTTGAACACAGAAATTATGTTCACCTTAGGGCTGATTTTTTACAAAATGTTTTTGTGTGGCTAAAACTCTATTTTGGAATACAACAAAGAAAATGATCACTGAGGCTTGATAGGTCAGAGTATTGTTTATAGCTTTATTTACATGGCAACTGAATTAAGTCGAGCATTTTATTTTTAAGCGGTATCTATTAAAAATCTCACACTATATAACTAACACCTAAACGTCGACAAAGCAAAGTCTGAAGTCCATTTTCAGACGGAGCTCTGTGTCTTGGTGGGTTAGGGTTTCCCTTAAACTTTACTACATCTGTTTATCTTTTCCCTACACTATAGATTTTTAAAAATGCAAAAAGTTTCCTAATCATCCCACCACTTGCTAACAGTCATTCCCTGAAGGTTCTGAATGTGCCCCCTTAATTATGCCATGTGTTCCTTCTTTTTTTGGTCCTTTTCCACAGCTCTCCCTAACGTAAACATGCCACCTTGCCAGGACAAATCCCTCCTGGCCTTTAGCATCCAGGTCATCCTGGCTCTCGCAAGAAGCCTGCCTTCAGTTCATGGGTCCTGCCATACTTGGCGTTTTGCCTACACCATCTTTGAGCAAGTCACCATCTCGTGACTGTAGTTTGTGTGAACCATGAGTTTAGGTGTGTGCCTTGTGATCTGGGTGCCTGCAGTTTCCCCCACTGTATTGGAAATGCTTTAAGGATAGGGATAGCCAAAGCTCCACGGTTTATACTCCATAGGACACCGGGAGGCCTCCCAGGACTGCCAGCTGCGCGTTGAGGAGGGTTAAGGCAGTCTTCAAGCACTGGGGGTGAAGCAATGTGCTGTCAGGAATAAGCTCCTGTAAGGAGCTGGAGATCATTTCCTGAGCCTTTCTTTTTATATTCATTACATGAAACAGTGATCCTGTTGAAGTTGGTTGCTTTAATTATTTGATGAGACTGTATAATGATTAGCTAATTTTACATTATACTATATTAATATAAATATATACATTATATAACATGCTTTGCATATATTAACATTATATTATTTAATATTAAATAACTTCCTAAAGCAAATTCTGCAAGTATAGAAATGCTAATATATATCAGAACATCTCTGAATTGAAAACGTCCTTAAAGTAAAAATAACTTTTCTTTCAGCTGACCGTGTTCACAACCTTGATAGATGTTACCAAAGATCAATTTGAAACTTACATCCGGGACTGCCCTGACCCTTGTATAGGTTGGTGAGCACACGTCTGGTCTACAGAACGCGGCCTCTGAAACATGAAGACACCACCTCCATGTGACTGAATGCTGCAGCTCTCTGATCCTCCAAAGACTAAGACTCCGGGGCAGGTTCTCTTTGAGTCACAAGCTTGTCTTCCTGCAGCTGTTGACAATTGACAGACTTTTTATTTTTTTTGCCCTATCAGTTGATTTTTTTATCTTATTTACAGTAAGATTTTTATCTTATTTACAGATAACGTCTTTAGGGCAAGTAAAACAATCATCTAGAATTCATTGAGTTGTGTTTCACTTTGACATTTGGGGATCTGGTGGGCATTCGAACCATGGTGAGCTCCACCTCCGTGGAATAAATGGAGATTCAGCGTGGGTACTGAATCCAGCACATCTGTGTGAGTAACGGAACAGTAAACACTCCACATTCTTCAGTTTTTCACTTTCACCTAGGGCTTATTTGTATGTTTTTCTGTATAACAGCCTTTTCCTTCCGGTTCTAACTGCTGTTAAAATTAATATGCCATTACCTTTGCTGTTAGTGACAGCAGTATGATTTTATTACATATGATTAGCGGGATGAGACAGACGTTCACCTGTATGTTACTTTTAATGGGCAAAAAATGGGCCTTAGACTCTAAATAGCACTTTCAGGGGTTCAAGAAGTAATCAGTATGCAAGGCAGTCTTTTATACAATAATTGAAGTGTTCCCTTTTTCATAATTCCTCTACCTCCCAGTAACCCTAAGGAAGTTGCTAACTTAAAAAACCGCATCCCAGTTTCTGTGAATTTAGTAAATAAACAAAGACATGTGGAAAATAGGAAGTGAACCCATTATTTTAAATTCTCGTAAGTAGCATTCATGTAATAAACAGGTTTTTAGTTTGTTCTTCATATTGACATGTCATTTAAAAGAAATGTTAGTAGTTACTAAAATGATGTTACTCTGTTTTTCAGAAATCAAACTACTTATGAAAAGTACTAACAGAACTTGTTAACCTTTCTAATCTTCACGATTAACTGTGAAATATGTGCCGTTTGTGCAAGACCATGTGTCCACTTCATTTTGTATAATCACAGTTGTGTTCCCGACACTCAATAAACAGTCATTGGAAAGAGTGCCAGTCAGCAGTCATGCACGCTGATTGGGTGTGTACATCTGTGTTGGTTTGAAGGTGGGGGGTTATTATCGAGAAATACAAGCTGAACATCGTATCTGAATTAAATAACAAGGGTTATGTAAGTGGGTTATTAAATATGACTAAACGGTCACAATCTTACTCTTACATGACTAATACCACCTCTTATCCAGATACTATCAACCCAATTTGCAGGCCTTTAAAGGCAGTTTTTCCCCCAGATAGGAGGTGCTTCCACAAAACTTTAGTGATTCCGAGATTACTTTAGTGATTCCGAGATTACTTTAGTGAAGCAAGAGGAATTATAAGAGGATTTACATTAAAATAGGATTCGATTAATGAAAAAAAAAGTTTACTCAGATTTTCTACCTCTTATAAAAATGAAGTCAGGTAAACTTGTTGTGTTTTTTTATTAATGTAGTAATCTTTGATATGCCTGATAATAAAGAGGTGAGATGCTCATTGTTTCAGACCAATTTCTCAGGAGTAAATCACAGTTTACAAGAAATAACAGATGTTAAGATTTTAAGAAGTAATTGTTTAGTGGTAAAGTAGTTTTAAAATAGGATATACAGGATAAGCCTATTTATATAACACTTTATACATGTACTTATGCATAACTAGATACACATCTAGAATATCAAAAGATGACTGGGAGGATATTATCCCAAATGCCGACTGTAGTTCCCATTGGGTAATGGTAAGTGCTATTTTAATTTGGAGAGGACAAAACTTAGTAGCCATTGGACATTAATGAGACCATTTTTAGAAATACTATAAAAAAAAAAAGGTCCAGGTTGAATCCAAAGCATGGGCTATATCTCATATCCCTGCCTAGGTTTTGGGAGTTTGATTTTGAATGGAAGGCTAAATCCTACCTGTATTCCTTCACACATGGAGCTCCTCAGTCACTTATCTTAATTAAAGCTCCTACTTACCCATTTATGTACCAGGCCTTGTGCTTGATAACATGCTTGACCTAGATTACCTCCTCAGCAAACCCCGGTATCACTTGTAATCACACTTGGCCAACCATGGAACAAAGGGTAACTTGATGAAAGTTGCATTAATAGAAGGGCTTAGAGCCAGACTTTCAGCCAGGTGTGTCCAACTCCTGTGCTCTTATCATGGTGGACCAGCCCGGAGTTCTTTTTTTTTTTTTTGATGTATCTTGGTATGTCTCGCGTTTGTTCTGTTACTGCAGGTGCTGAGTGCAGTGGGCGTATTTCTAGCTCTCGGCAAGCTCGCCGTCCCAGGTTTCCGCCGATTTCTCCTAGCGCTCAGCCGTTCTCTGAGTATGCTTGGGCATTCCAGGGCGCCTGACACCATTGCCTGCTAAATTTTTTTTGTACAGTGTTATTTTATTTTCAAGTTTTTAAGTAGGTAATCGATGGGTGTCACCATGTAGCCCGGATGGTCTCGATTCCTGACCCGTTGGGTCGTGACTCCCGCGAGGGCCGTTCATTTTTTTCGTTTTTTTTTTTGTTGTGATATTTTCTGGTTTTGGCTCTCGAGGTTTGAGGTGCCAAAGTGCTGGGGGGGTGATCTGATCAGGTCTGACCCTACGCGTTGCCCAGTCTCCCCCGAATTCTTTTTTTTTTTTTTTTTTTGAGAACCAAGAAGGTGCTCTTCTCTGTTGCCGCCAGGCTCGTTGGATGTGCATTGGCGGTAAATCTTGGCTCACCTGCAAGGCTCCACCTCCCCGGTTCCACACGCCATTCTTCCTGCCCGTCGAGGGCCTTCTCCGGTCACCATGGCCTATGCGCTATTTATTTTTTTTTTGCTTGGTTTTTCGTATTGGTACGTAGAGACACCAGGTTTCACCAGGTGGTTCAGCTAGGATGTCTAACCTTGGACTGCTGCTTGAGGTTTTATTCGTCATCCCGCAGCTGCCCGCCTCGCCCAAGAGTGCCTCCGGCCCGAAATTCTTTACTTTGCAAGTAGGATTGAGAAACAGCTCTGTCCTGTGAGACCCACACTTCTTCTGCCGTGGACCAGGCCACTGTGCTGAGCCTGGACACCACTGTGTCACTGCCTTCTACTTGTTCTATGTCGATTATTAATGTTCCCATAGGGATCAGAAACCCTTTGGTGTTAGGAGCTGACAGGTCACTTGTTTCTGACTTCCCTGAGGCTGAATCATGCTCAGCTTGTGGGGAATGCGTTAAGAGCACCTCAGTCTTTCTGTGGCTGTGACCCAGGAGTACATGAAAAATATGAAATGTTCTGAAATTTTTAAAAAGTCACTGTAAAAGCTCACACAGTCATTATTGAAGTTAGTCTCACAAAGTGAAGGATAGTTTTTGTTTATTGGTGACAATTTACGAAATAGTTGCCAGCTTAGTTAGCATCACATATGACAGATGTGGCCAGCAGGCTCCAGACCACACCGAGCTGCATGCTGGCCCCATCTACAAGCCTGGGGAAGTGTGGCTGGGCTCCTCAGCCTTCACAACTTGTGGAGGTTGGTCAACTCACATGAAAATCAGTCCTCTCTCTTTCTCTGGTACTCCCTCCCTCTTATGTTGATAAAGTGGGTTTCCAAGCCAGGTGGCACAGGGGATACTAGACTGGTGTGTGTTGGGCAATTCTCTGGCCGTTCTTGACATCTTCAAGGATGCTTGTCTAGGCAGAGGACAGATTAGTTTCCTGACTACGGTAATAAAGGTCATCGTCTACCTGTAAGGCAGAGGTTGGATGAGTTGGTTGGACAAGAAGCCCGTCTTGTAACTCGAGGGGTTTCCTGAGCTTGGGGTTCCTCAGCTAGGATACAGATGATACATCATAAATTGGGTTGTCACACATCACCTCCTTGGGGGACTTGGGGGGTGGCACATGGAATTCCCAGAGTAATACAGTCCTTTGCCTTTGACCCAGGAGTCTGCCAGCATCTGGGAAGCTGTGGCAGGCTAGGTCATTAGCTTGCAAGCAGGGTAAAATCTCAGGCGTTTCACAGTGTCTCAGCCTTCGGGGCAGCTGGGCAGGGTGTAGGCATGCCAGCCCCTGGGCTGCCTCCAACAGCCCCGGCCTCCTCTGGGGCTCCCTGAAGGGCAGGCTTGCACAGTGATACGGTTTGGCCCTGTGTCTCACCCAAATCTCATCTCCATTTGTCAGGGGAGGGACCAGGTGGAGTTGATTGGAGCATGGGGGTGGTTTCCCCCATGCTGTTCTCGTGATAGTGAGTGAGTGAGCGCTCCCGAGAGCTGATGGTTTTAAACCGTGGCACTTCCTCATTCTCCGACTTGCTTCTCTCCTGCTGCCTTGTGAAGGTGTCTCCTTTCCCCCTTGCCTTCTGCCACGATGGTCAGTTTCCTGAGGCCTCCCCAGCCATGCAGAACTGTAAGTCAATTAAACCTCTTTCCTTTATAACTTAGCAGTGTGAAAACGGACGACTACAGACAGAGTGGGATAGACTGCACCCCTCGGTGGTCTCACAGGCTGGGAAGGGAGATGTGGGGCATGCACGGTATAGAGAAAGTTAGTAAAAATCACTGGCCCTGTGGACCAGAAGAGACCTGGGCCAACTAGGTTTTGCCTCTGTCAAATATAAAATCCACGTAAAGATACCTAACCATTCAGCCCTCATTGGGGGCCCTCCCGATTACTTTCCACCAAGACCCAAACTTGGCTTGGTTGTCCCAGTCCTCAGTGGTAGCAGTAACACCTGGAACTTGTTGCTCCCATTGCAAGGTTGAGCAATAGCACCTGTCCTGCCCATCTCACAGACAAGCAACCTGTGGCACAGCTGGAGTTTGTTCCAGGTGCGCAGAGCCCAGCACACAGCCCCGCTGCAGAGGTTGGAGGGAGGTGCAGAGGCAGTGTGGGCTCCTGGTGAATTCAGCTCCAGGCAGTAGCCCAAACATTTACTTCACATGTGTCTGATTCCTGTGTCCATTTGTAGCTGACAGGCCAATCTGGAGGCATCTCAGCTGGCTGCCTGTGACTGTTGTAACATTTCAAATGCTTTCTGCAAAATAGGACATTGTTATTTTAAAATACTTGATTGGTATTTTTCTTTTCTCCTTTTTTTTCCCCCTTTTTTTTTTTTTGAGACAGTCATGCTCTGTTGCCCAGGCTGGAGCACAGTGGCGCCATCTTGGCTCACTGCAGCAGCCACCTCCCAGGTTCAAGCAATTCTCCTGCTTCATCCTCCAGAGTAGCTGGGATTACAGGCAGCCACCACCACGGCCAGCTAAATTTTGTACTTTTAGTAGAGATGGAGTTTCACTGTGTTGGCCAGGCTGATCTTGAATTCCTGACCTCAAGTGAGGTGTCCGCCTCAGCCTCCCAAAGTGTTGAGGTTACAGGCATGAGCCACCGCGCCTGGCTGATATGTAAATTTTGATTGAATTCAAAACTCTTCCCAAGGTAATTTAGTAGTACATGTATCAATGAAAGTTAAAAAAAAAAATTAGTTTTCAAATGTAATTCCAGTTTCTGTAAATCCTTGAATGCTTATACAACACTGTTTTAAATTTAGCAATTAGGCATACAAATTGATCCTTAATGATTTTTCTAAAATTTGAGGAGATCATAAAGTCTTGGCCAAGAATTGTGTATAGCAATTTCAAACGCAAAACAGGTTATAAAAACATGTTAAGAAAATGGCTGGGCTCTGTTGCTCACGCCTGTAATCCTAGCACTTTGGGAGGCAGAGGTGGGTGCATTGCCTGAGCTCAAGAGTTCAAGACAAGCTTGGGTAACATGGGGAAACCCTGTCTCTACATAAAATACAAAAAAGCTGGGCAAGGTGCCAGGCGTCTGTAATCCCAGCTACTCAGGAGACTGAGGCACGAGAATTGCTTGAACCCAGGAGGCGGAGGTTGCAGTGAGCCAAGATCATGCCACTCCACTCCAGCCTGGGCAACAAAGTGAAACTCTGTCTCAAAAATAAATAAATAAAATAAAATAAAATATATATATATAGTTTTGCATTTTGGACGTGTAATATCTCCCGATACCTTCTGTTCATGACTTAGACATTTCATAATTAATAAAAA